AAATTAACCTGTCTGGAAACATGCGTTTAAAAACAGGGGTTTAGTTAGCACACATTTGCAAATACATACGTAAGCCACATAGCCGCGTCACGGCACCCTGAGTATCTGTGGTCCTAACTCTACAAGTCTAAAGAGTCCTCACAGTGGAGGCACATGCATTTAAATGGATAGAAACAAGGGCAGATAAACATGAGGGGAGCCCCACCCTTCATTAAAAAGGTTATGGGAGCGCACCTGACACCCAGCATATTGCACAACGGCAGCTAGGGAGTCCAGTGCACCCACTGAACCTACAAGCATACAAAGAAAAAACTGATCACCTGCCCAGGTCTATAACTGGCTTTTTAAACAGTGAACATGGGGGGCTGTCACTATGTGAAAAATTTCCAAAAAGGTAGAACTATCCAGTTCAACTTGCCGGCCTACCCCAATCTAATAGCGGCTATTATTGGCAAGGAACAAGGATATGTACATCTTATAACAAGGGGGATAAGAAAAGCCAGTTCAAACTGTCAGCCAGTTAGCCAACTATCAAAAACCAAATTTTCAACTTTCATCGCTGTTCCACTTTGAATGCCAGTTACTCGTAAAACACTATACCCAAATAAAATAATTTTTTTAGACCGTTTTCTTTTGGTAATATTTAATCACCACTGGGTGTTTATATAAAATAATATAAAAAAAAAAAAAAAAAATACTGAAAATCTTGAAAAACATTTTTAGTTTCATAAATTATGACCAAAATGTATTTTGTTACATATCTTTGGTAAAAATAACCAAATCCGTGTTTATTATTTAGTCTGTGTCAACGTTAGTCTACAAACTATGGTATATATATTTGAAAATTAATCAGTCCTGATGTACTGAGGGCCTGTCTCATCTCTTGAGGCCCTAAAATGCAAGGACTGTGCAATATACAGTCATGGCCAAACATATTGGTACCCATGCATGTATATCAGATAATGCATCACTTCTCCCAGAAAATTGTTGCAATTACAAATGTTTAGGCATTCTCATGATTATTTTGTTTGTATTGGTGTGACACAAAAAAGTGGAGAAACAAAATGCCAACTCTGACAGATTACACGCAAAACCCCAAAAATGGAACACAAAGTGGAGAAACAAAATGCCAAATCTGAAACATTACATGCAAATCCCCAAAAATAGACTGGACAAAATTATAAGCACCCTCAATTTAATATTTGGTATCGCATCACTTGGAAAAAATAACTCAAGTCATTTGCTTCCTGTAACCATCAATGAGTTTTACACCTCTCTGCTGGAATTTTGGGCCACTCTTCTTTCACCAACTGCTCCAGGTCTCTCAGATTGGAAAGGTTCCTTTCCCAACTGCAGTTTTGAGACCTCTCCACAGGTGATCTATGGGATTGAGATCTGGACTCACTGTTGGCCAGTTCAGTGCTTTTTCAGCTCTTTGTCTTAAACCATTTTGGAGTGCTTTTTGATGTGCTTTTGGTCATTGTCTTGCTGTAAGAACCATGACCTGACGGAGACCCAGCTTTCTGACACTACATTGCACCCCAGAATTCTTTGGTAGTCTTTGGATTTCATAACGCCATGCATACATTCAAGACATCCAGTGCCTGAAGCAGCAAGGCAACCCCAAAACATCAGTGAACCTGCACCATGTTTGACTGTAGGGACTGTATTCTTTTCTTTAAAAGCCTCATTGCTTTTCCTGAAGACAGTAGAATGATGGGCTTTACCAAAAAGGTGTAATTTTTGTTTTGTCTGTCCACAGCACATTCTCCCAAAAGGATTTTGGCTTATTTTGGTAAGTTTTGGTAAACTTCAATCTGCTTTTTTTTCTTTTTATGTTTCTGTGTCAGCAGTGGGGTCCTCCTGGGTCTCCTACCATAGCGTCTTTTCATTCAGATGGTGACGTATGCTGTGAGCTGACACAGTTGTACCCTGTGCCTGAAAGCTTGAAATTTGTCTGGAAGTTGATTGAGGTTCTTTAGCCACCTTTCGAACAGTCCTTTTGATCAATTTTTCTCTTTCGTCCAGGGAGATTAGCTACAGTGCCATGGGCTGTAAACTTCTTGACAATGTTACGCAGAGTGGACACAGGAACATTAAGATCTCTGGAGATGGACTTGTAACTTTGAGATTGTCCACAATTTTTCTTCTCAGATCCTCAGAAAATTCTTTGCTGCTCTTTCTCTTCTCCATGCTCCGTGTGGCACACAGACACACAACAGAAAGGTTGAGTAAATTTTTCACCATTTTAATTGGTTACGGTGATTTCTATATTGTCAGCACCTGTTAATTGACACAGGTGAGTTTAATTACAAATTTCAGGAGCATCACAAACTTGGAATGCAATTATTTTACAATTTTGAGGAAGGTGCCAATAATTTTGTCCAGTCCATTTTTGGGGTTTGCGTGGAATGTGTCAGATTTGGCTTTTTGTTTGTTCCCTTTTTTGTGTCATACCAACAAAAACAAAAGAAACATGAGAATGGCTACACATGTGTAATTGCAACGAAGTGGTGCATTATCCGACAGAAATTAAGGTGCCAATAGTTTTGACAATGACTATTTCTGAAAGCATTCTTAATTTACTGCATTTTTTCCACATATGCCTAAAACTTTTGTACAGTACTGCATATACACATGAGATCACGTAAAGTGAATAGTTTAAACTGAACATACTGTAGAACTGTTCCAATGTGCATCCAAAAAGTGACTTCCACCACCAGACTTTATACAGCACCAGAAGTGATGTGAGAATCCTTCCACCCAACAGGAAGATTGCACACTCACACACAAAGGAATTCTGCTAAAGGGCTGAGCAGTACGAAGAGCTTTCACACCAGTCCTGGATCGGTCCTCTCATAATCTCAGAAGGTCTGGTCAAACATGCCTGACCTCCTCCTCTGTATTCGCACTTGTACGCACTCCTTTACTGACAGTTCCAGCAATGTCCCCTGTCAGGAGAAAGTAGAGAGGAGACATTGCTGGAATTGGCAGCAGAGTAAGTACAAGTACGAATGCTGCTCCCAGTGGAGAAGTTCAGATGTGTTTGACCAGACTTTCTGAATGCTGTCCGTCTGTGTACCCCCCCAAGGTCAATCTGTCCCCCACTGCAATCCCATAAGGTCAGTCTGTCCCCCAGTACAATCCTCCCCTATTCAGGTCAGTCTGACTGTAAAATTCCCCCTCCTTGGGTTAGTCTGAACCCAGTACAATTCCACACCCCAGGTCAGTCTGTCCCCTAGCACAATACCCCCAGGTTAATCTGTCTCCCAGCACAATCTGCTGCAGGTCACTCTTTCCTCCAGTGCAATCTCCTCTCCGGTCAGTCTGTCCCCCATTACAATACTTCAGCCTTCCTCAGGTCCGTGTGTCCCCCAGTACAATCCCCCCAGGTCAGTCTGTCCCCCACTACAACTCCCTGTCCCTAGATCAGTCTGTCCCCTGGTACAATCCTTCCCTCCCTAAATTTACAGATGCAGTGTGGCATGGGTGATCTGCTTCCTCCCAAGCTCCTCCTGAATGCCCTGTGACACCTTAGAGCCTGGAGGCGGTAAGAGGAAGCTTTTCCTTGACTTTCTGAAAGGCAGGTACAGCCAGGAGATAGTGATGCCAGTTTGCAGCACTGGTGAAGGGAGGTGGTGAAGTGAGGTTTGGGGAACTGGGGCACATATAATAATTGTATGGATGCTGCAATCCACTGTAGTAGCATTCACTACATACAGTAAGCCATGACTTCTGCTGGAGAGGTAGAAGTGACTTCCTTCTGCTAAGTGGTCCTGTCCTTTCACCATTCAGGAACCCCCTTGTATTTTTGTTGATGTAAACAAGGTAGGCTCTGATTGGCCAAGGTGGAGAGTAGGAGCGAATTACATCACAATCTCCATTTCAATCAATCAGGTGCTGCACCCCAAGTGGCCATACAGTTATTACATGTCTAGTATCAATATTTATCAAGCTGGCCCACAGCAAGTTTGTTACGTCCCATTATTCCTGGAGTTATGCTTTAGACCCCGTTCACACTTGAGCATTTTTCAGCTTGACGCTTAAAAACACTCAAGTAAAATCCCATTATTTCAAATGGCCCCTATTCACACTTGAGCGTTCTGTCGCTTGTAGCAAAACACCTGTTGCTCCAAAAAGTACTTTTCAGGCAGATCTGAGTGTTTTGTCCCTATAGACTTGAATAGAAAATGCCTGAACAGTGGGAATGCATGTTTTTTCAACCGTTTTTCAACCGGTTTTTCAAGCGTGTCAGCTCAAACAGCATCTATTTCTGTTGGGCACAGCAAAAATGCTTAAATGAAAAACACCTGAGAAAACACCCTTTAGGCTCCTTGCACACTGGACTTTTTAATAATGCTGGTAACGTTAGCTGTGTAAAATCACTTTAAAAACGTGATTTTTTTCAGGGGTTTTTTTGGTTTTGTTTTTAGTGTTTTTGCATTAGCATTTAGTGGTGTTTTTTCATGTTTGTGGGTTTTTTTTTTTTACCAGAATAAAAAAACTTTTTTTGCTCAAAAAAAGTCCAAAATGCTGGTTTGACGCATTTTACAGCGTTTTTCAGTGTTAGAGCATTTTTACAGCTAAAAACTCACTAGTTCCCACTAGTTCTGGGTTTTTTTTTCCAGCCAAGAAATGCCCCTGCCAAAAAACGCTGATTACAGCCTATGTGTGCATGGACACATAGGATAACATGCTGGGGCGTTTACTGGCTGTAGAGGAAAAAATATCAAAAGCCAAAAATCAGCCGCTGTAAAAAGGTCCAGTGTGCATGAGGATTTAATATTTGCAAATCTGCTGAAAACAATTCTCAAAGACACCTGAAAAAAAGCTTGAAAAGCTCAGCTTAGTGTGAATGGCGCCTTAACCTCCCTGGCGGTATTCCCGAGTGTAGCTCGGGGTAAAATTTCAGTACCAAAAGCGGTAACCCCGAGCTACACTCGGGGCTTACCATGCAGCGTTGCACAGGGATTCCCTGCAGCGCTTACCTTGTCCTTCGCTCCCACGATGTGTCCCCTGCAGCGTCTCCGGCCGATGCCAGCATCCGGCTTCCGTGTTCCGATCCCTGTGACATGGGGACGTAAGGGCATCGGAACCGGCGGCAAATTTGAAAATTTTAAAAAATGTAATTTTTTTAAAAACGATTATTACATAGTAAAACATTACTGTTTCAAAGCATTTCAAATATATTTTGTCCCTACTGCTTTGTCCTGTGCCCTGCCTGCATTTTGTCTATTCTTTCTGCCTGGAAACTTAGAAAAGTCCATGGCGTCCAAAAAGTGTCCCTTTAGGTCAAAAGTGGTTTTAGAGCAGCTAGAGAACAGCGATAGTAAATCAGAACCACTTGCAGAATTGAGTGATAATGATTCGTGGGGAAATTCGTCATCAGACACTGAAAACGATTTTGCGACTTTGCTCAGTGATGTGCGAACTTGGCGCTATATTTCAAATTTCAGTGTTTTTGGTTTGCTTATATTATTGAATTAAATTTATTATTGTTATTATTTTTTATGATTATTTATTAAATTATAATTTATGATTTCGTGTTTCAAGTTTTATCATATCCGGAATGTTTACTAGACTCTTGTTCGGACAGATTTCAGTGAGTTATTCCTAAATTACAGGCCTACAATAAAAAAAATACATATTTCCATGCAAAGAAATGGTACCGCTTTCAGCACCAAAAATCTGAAATAATCATACCGCTAGGGAGATTAATATTTAAAGGAAACTCTCACTTAAATCCTATAAAGATGCCAGCAGGTGTAAACTGCAATATATCTACAGGTTCCTGCACTTACCTGCAGCAGCTTTCAGTGCCTCTGCTTAGCCCAAATGCCAGGCAATTTTGATAGGGTAAAGCTGTGATGCTTCCTTATAGTGGCACTTCTTCCCATTGATTCCTATTGGCACTAAGGCCACTCATCGTCAGCGTTGTTCCATAGGATTGTATCCGGATGGGAGACGGGGCAATCCCCCAAATTATCTGAAGTGTCACACTTTGCCTGTTTAGAGCAGCATGGCATTCACATTGCGGGAGCGATGAAAACTGCTACAGGTATTCTCTAGGTGACTACACTTTTTATTTTTAGGTGACAGACTCTTTGCATCTTTTACAACTGCTTAGTGAATTAAACTTGTTTTTACTATTGCTTGTTGTGCAGATCGATTCAATAGTTGAAGTTTCTGACCCAAGACAATTATGCAGATTTTCCTGATATGCATACTTGTCCTGGGTCAGTTTCTCAAAGTGTGGAAGGCATTGGTTCAGTAAAATGCCTAGGTAAGTAACATATTTAAAATGTTAATTTCTTTATGACTGATTTATCTCAAGAGATACCCATTGGTATAATCTGGATATGATGTCAGAAACACCTGTATTTTGCTTCGAGGATCAGATTATGAAAACTGGGCTACTCTTTTACTTGGTCTTCATGTGCAATACAGTATTTCATGCTTTGAGACATTTTAATTATGTTTCCACTTTTTTCCCTGCAAAAAACTTCCAAAATGAATCACAAATTCTAAAAATAACCTGTCTTTGCCAATCAAAGCCAGGTATACAGTGATGACAAGATTGACAGGAAGCCTTATGAAAGATAAGAATGTATAGCTGCTTGTTCTGAATAATGTTACTGTGCACAATCTTCAAGGAAACAAGATAACATTCTACACTGAATTATTTAATAAAATCGCCCTTTGGAGTGAATTAGAAAAGTACAGAAACAGAGAATAATACAATTCACATATGCTTTATTCAGAATATATATTGGGCAAATGCAGCACAGCACCAACCATCACTTTATACAGGTCTGATCAACTAATTTGGTCACACATAAAAATCTATTCAAACTTGTACAATGTCTGCTTTATTAGGTTTTATCATATGTCAGGGTTATGTCCAGAAAAGTCAATGTTCAGTGTTTAAAGTAGAACTATAGGCAAAACTTATTTTCATTTTTGGATAGAGTAAGGAAGGGGTTATAACCTCTGTCGGTTTTTTAATTGTCATCTGTGTTAAACTGGGGAGATTTATCTTCTCTTCTTGTTCTATAGCTTAAACAGGAAGCAATAAGAAATCCCTGCAAATTAAGGGAATCAATTGCACCTCTAGGTCACCAGAACTGGTGTCCCCTTTGGAAAATTTACCATCTAACTTTTCTGGGGATACAATTTGGGTTTTTGTTTTTCTTTCACTTTTCATTATAATGGTAAACAGGACATATAGAGAGGGTGAATCCCCCTAATGAGGGCACAGACTGCAATAAAAAACGCTATTTAAATCCATCTCCACTCTATCCAGAACTAAATAAAAATTGCCTTTATTTACATTTAAAGTTGAAGTCTGGTTTCTGTGTTACAGCTTGACTGGCACAGCAAGTTTTACCTTAGAAAAAGAAATAGGAAACCTCTGAACAAGTATTAAGGCTGCCATTGCTTGACCCCTTTCCCCCTTCTAAAGATGCTAGTTGCTTGACTCTCATGCTTCAATCCTTTTCAAAGTCACAGACCCTAAAAAAGGTTTGCTCTTCTCACACTCATTATTTGCATACTTATTCCTTTAAAGATCTGTGCAATTTCAACTGTTAAAGGGTATATATAGTCATTTTTTTCGTTTTGGATAGACTAGGGCGGAGTTTCTCAACCTTTTTTTGTGAAACAGTTTTCAGGTTTCAGGGAGCTAAAACGTTACTCCAAATCACAGTATATTAGCGTGATAAATACATTGTAGCTATAATATTTTTGCCATGCCCCTCTGTACATTTAAAAAAAAAAAATCAGTAATTAAATGAAGTGAACTTAATATTAATGGCCAGAAAAGAAAGACAGGCAGCGGGCATTGTAGTACTTCCCTAACATTGATGATCAATGTTTACCTTGGTGGTCAGTAAAAAAAGAACCTTCTTGCATTAATGGTCAATGGGAGAGGGCCCTTCAGATTGGTTATTAGTGGTAGAAGACAGCTAAAAACATCATTGCTAGCAGTGGCTACTTACCTAAGATAAATGAAAGGCTCTACTGGTCCCACACCAATGTTCAGACAAGTAAAATTGGTGCCGTAACTATGCTGGCACTAACATGCAGGAGATATGTCCACAACTGCAATGAATCCCTACCCACCTCTGGTGGAACCCTACGTGAAATTACTAAAATTACTTTTTTTTTTTTTCTTTGCAATCTGTGTTCCATTGGGAAGATTTTCCTTCACATCCTGTCCCAAAGACACAACAGAGGAAGTCTCAACAAAATGAGGGAAATTTTCTTCACAGCTGTCATAGGAATAGGCGCCCTATTGATTTACCTCTTTTTCTGTGGACTCTACCATTTTAGATTTCTTGTCATTTTTTGTTTTTAGTGATAATGGACACTTTTAAATTTAAGGACAGAGAGAGTAAATGTCCCAAACAGACACAGACAAGAAAACCTAACAGGGATTCTATTTCTTCCACACACTTAAAACAAGAGACCTGTGCTGCCGCATAAAAGCTGGTCCTGCATGCATCTTTCGCAGGAATCATTTGCAGATTCCAGTGCTTGTCTGGTACAAATATATGCAATAAAGTCCAAAAAACAGGTCCACATTGCTCTCCGCTCAATCAAAAATTTTCTTTGTAGATATCAAAAGCACAATGAATGCAGATATTAAGATAATGAGCCGTGGCACATTTTGCACCTTCTGGTTTAATATATTAAACCTTCAGTCAATCAGGAAGCCAGTTTTTGGACTCCTTCCATTCACTATCCAAAACTTAAAAAAACAAACAAACAAGGATTGTATACGTCCACAAATGGTGTACCACACACCTAAGCATCTCAATGGAGAACAATCAGTCCATGGTCCCAAATAGATAGCATTAGACACAATAATGATGCAACACTCGCTCTTGTTTTATTTTTAAAATAGCAATATTGTTGCAAAGCAAAATACATATTAACTTTGTAACAATATTGCTACTGATAACTAAAATGAAAGAAGAGTGCTGTAACATTATGGTCTCTATTAATATACACACACTCATATGAAAATGTAAGTACATCCTAACTTTTTCAACATTTAAACAGGCAAAGATTAGATATTGGTTCAAATATTGCCTACACATAAAGGTGATATAAAATGCTAGAAAAAAAAACCTAATGGAACACTTTTTAATCAGAGTATAGTAACAAGTCAGTTAAACTCCTGGGATATTGATCTGGTCAGTTAAGTAGCAGAGGGTTTTTAATCAGTTTCAGATGCTTTAGTGTTAATGAAATTAACAACAGGTACACTAGATGGGCAACAATGAGACAGCCTCAAAACAGGAATGGTTTTAAAGGTGGAGGCCACTGACATTGTTTCCCTACTCATCTTTTCTGACTGTTTTCCACTAGTTTTGCATTTGGCTAGGGTCAATGTCAATACTAGTAGCATGAGGCGATACCTGGACCCTACAGAGGTTTCACAAGCAGTCCAACTCCTCCAAGATGGCACATCAATACGTGCCATTGCCAGAAGGAGCTGGACAGGACCATAGAAGGTCCTTAACCCATCAGCAGGACCAGTATCTGCTTCTTTGTGCAAGGAGGAACAGGATGAGCACTGCCAGAGCCCTACAAAATGACCTCCAGTAGGCCACTTGTGTGAATTTCTCGGACCAAACAATTAGAAACAGACTTCATGTGGGTGGCCTGAGGGCCCGATGTCCTCTAGTGGGCCCTGTGATCACTGCCCGGCACCATAGAGCTTGATTGGCATTTGCAATTGAACACCAGAATTGGCCGGTCTGCCACTTGCACCCTGTGCTTTTCACAGATGAGAGCAGGTTCACCCTGAGCACATGTGACAGATGTGAAAGGGTCTGGAGAAGCTGTGGAGAACATTATGCTGCCTGTAACATTGTTCAGCATGACCGTTTTGGTGGTGGGGAGGCATATTCATGGAGGGGCGCACAGACCTCTACAGGCTAGACAATGGCACCCTAACTGCCATGAGGTATCGGGATGAAATCCTTGGACCCATTTTCAGACCCAACACTGGTGCAGTGGATCCTGGGTTCCTCCTGGTGCACGAAAATGCCCTGTCTCATGTGGTGAGAGAATGCAGGCAGTTTCTGGAGGATGAAGGAATTCATACCAGTGAATGGCCCCACATGCTCGCTTGATCTAAATCCAATAGAACATTCTTGGATATTATGTTTCAGTCCATCCTACGCCACCAGGTTGCACCTTAGATTGTCCAGATCAGCGATGCCCTGGCCCAGATCTGGGAGGAAATACCCCAGGACACCATCCGTTGTCTCATTAGGAGCATGCCCCGATGTTGTCAGGCATACATACAAGCATGTGGAGGCCATACAAACTACTGAGTACCATTTTCAGTTGCTGCAATAAAATTTCAGCAAAATGGACTGGCCTGCTGCATCATTTTTCCACTTTGATTTTCAGGGTGTCTTTGAATTCAGTCCTCAGTAGGTTGATAATTTTCTTTTCCATCAAAGGATGGGACATCCTTACGTTCCTAACACATTACCCAGTCCATTTCAGTATAGATATCCAGCATGATATTTTTCCCCATCGAGATATGATATGTTTTCAAAGTGTTCGTTCAATTTTTTTGAGTAGTGTATTTTAACAAATAACACAACTGAAAAAAAACAAACAAAAAAAATGCGGATTTGTCATATGAAAAAGGAAACACACCCTACATTTAGCACCACTTTAAATTAATGAAATTTTAATCTGATGTTACAGATTAATTGCTAATGATTATAACCACCTTAGGGTGTACTCCGATAGAACTTTTCTTTCAACATTCGGAGTCAAATTGCATACATCTACAATCATAAAAAGATTGCACCAATAATTATTTAAGCTTGTAAAAAAGCCTTTACTGTCCAAAAAAACCATGAGAGCAAGACTGCAGGCCTTCTGGAACAATGTGCTGTGGACTGATCAGAGTTTTGAGTTTTTTTCGTTACAGTAACAGTACACATGTGCCAAAAATCTAAGACATCTTTTCAGGAAAAGAATCTGGTTGGTGGAATGAAAGAATGGTGTTGAAAATGTTGTTTGGGAATATTTTGCTGCTTCAGGGCCTGGGCTGCCTACAGTATTGTAGTCAACTATACATTCTGTATTCTACATTCTGCTATCAAGTGTGCTTGATAAAAATATGAGGACATTTTTGTACAAGTTGCACTTCAACTGGAATGTTTTTTTCAACATGCTAATGATCCAAAGCATACTAACAAATTGATGAAAGAATAGATCAAGAAAAGGAGTAGAATGTTAAAGAATTGCCAACTCAAATCACTGATTTGGTTCCTATCCTTTTAAAATTTAGCAGCAGGATTTTGAATCTGACAGTTCATGCACAAACTTCTTGCAAATTATAGAATTTTGGTCAACTATTTGGATGTTGATGTTAGAGATGTTATTGATCAGTTATACAAAATGTCTACAATGAGTCATTTATGCCAAAGGGCAATACTCTGATCCAAGAGTATACTTTTATAACTTTTTTTTTAATAAAAGTAAACAATTATATCTAATTCTATTGTTGTTTAATAAATTATTGTAAAGGCAAATTGTTCTTGTATTTTAATTTAAGTATATCACCTGTATGTGTTTGAATAAAGATCTGTGTTTTTATTCAAATATGTTGAAAGCAAACAATTTTATTGTGGATATGTAGTGTGTGTGAATATATATATATATATATTCACACACACACTACATACCCACAAGGAAATTGTGTGTATGTGTATGTTATGATCAGGATTTATGTGTTTAACACTTGAATAATGAACATTCTGCTGCATGACCTATATATCTTCTGTATTGTTCACACATTTTCCTGTTGTGAAATATACGTAAAGTATTTTTTACTGTGGGTTAAACTGGACCCTTTCTATACTTTTTAATCAACAAAGAGTACAGAGAATGGTTTTCACATTGCTGAATGACAAATTGTAACTAATAGTTTTAGTTTACCTTTACAGGAAAAAAAATAACTGTATACCCTCCCAAAACCCCTGGATCTCTGCTGTACTTACCTCCAGGATTTTTTACCACAGCCTCAGCCAGTCCAGTGGTCTGGGGATATGAAATCCTCACTCTTCTCCTCTTCTCTGTGCAGCACCTTCAGGATGGGTGCGATCAATTCTGCTTGGTCAGCACTGTCACAGTGAAACCTGGTCCATCCTGGAAGCACTGCATGGAAAAGTGCAGGACTTTCAAATCCCGAACCGCTATACTGATGCTGCTGCTGCTGTTTGTAATCCTAGAGGTAGGTACAGCAAGAGAAAGGGGGGGGGGGTGCAATTGCTTAGACTTCCTGACATTACTTTTCCTCCTCAGTTTGGTGCTCTGTCTGACTTACATTTGTTGTCAATTTGTTCACTTCAGAAATAAATCCTATGTGTCCCCCACAACTGAGATGCCTTTTTCCATGAGTGCTTGAGCACATCAGTGATAACATGTATCTGAAATAAAAACTTTTTTGTTTTATAACAATATAAAAATATTAGGAATGCTTTCAATCCCCACCAGGTTTTTTGTGTCGCTTTATGGAGATTTCCCTTCTAATGAAACAACAGAAAAGTGAAAAAAACATCCCTAAAGTGTTGAGAAAACAGCTGTGGCAAGAACAGATTTACCTCTTATTCTGTTCCTTAGAAAGCCATGATATTTAGGATCTATCATACATTTTGTCCCAATGACAACGGTTTACCAGGACTGGGAGGCAATAAAACCTGACAGAGGCTCTAATCCTTTCACACACTATCCAAGTCAGAAAAAAAAAAAAACATTGGCTGTACCTTTAAACTAATTTACAAATAAATGGCACTGTAAATTACTGTAGGATGCAGTTGAGATGTACAAGTCCTGATGGACTTGGAGCTGGTCAATCAGTCAAGTCAATATTCTTAAAGTTTTGTGCTGGACTTGGGCACCTCTGTTCCTTGTTCCTGATGCTCCCATGGGATCGGGTCATTGCTTTGTTCAGCTGGATCTGATTCTCGTTCATGCCAAAACTGCTCCACATCTGGAAAGACTGGGTTTTCCTTGCTGTCTTGGCTTCCAAAATTTTGCTGAGAGTTTGACTGTTCTACTTGGCCAATAGTCGCAGGTTGCTCAGAAGATTCAGCATCTGGAAGAGTGGAGTCTGCTATGCCCTCAGAATTCAATGCCCCTTGATCCTGAACATCATGGTCATTTAAAGATTTTTTGGAAGTCAGACGTTTCCAAACATCCTTGAAGCCTTCCTTAAAGTCTTCTGACATGACCAAAAAGATCAGAGGATTTACACAAGAGGTAGAGAACATGAGGATCTGGGCCAAAGTCACAAAGGCTTGGGGTGGTGATGGACCATTGGCTGGCTTGTGCCAAATCCAAAGCCAGGAAACCCATTCTGGAAGCCATAGGATGGAAAAGGTGATGGTGACATTCAGTAACATCAAGGTGAGCCTTCTGGATCTTATCTGGTTTCTAAGATTTTGAGTTTTAGTCCCCCTGTGTTGGCACTGCTTATAGGCTCTCCAAAAATTAAAGAAGGCAAGGGTAAATGGGATACAGTAGACAAAGATTGGGTAAAGTTTCACGAAGATGGCCATTATCTCTTGTGCCTGTGCTGGTATGTCCATGAGACAGATGAAGGAGCTCTTGATTTGTCTGGCATCGGTGAAGAACCATTCGGGCAGGGGCAGCACCGCAGCTACCAGCCAGATACACATCAGCACCGCAAAGATGGTGACATGTCCTATGTTGACCTGTTTGGCAGGATTGCTGGCGTACATGAAGCAGGCTCTTGCTGCTATAGCGATGGTGAGACTTTTGGAAGACATACAGGTGTGTGTAAACCAATCTGCCGTCTTACACACAAACCAACCCAAGTTTAAGCTGGACCTAGAATAAGCCGCGGCTCTAAAGGGCACCGAGAACATCAGCAGGAGCAGGTCGGAGAGGTTGACATTCAGGATCAGAGAGTGGATCAAGGAGGGTTTGGATTTTCTGGCATTGTGAAGAAGAACTGCGATCACACACACATTCCCTACTAGTCCCAATAAACAGATTACTATCAGAAGGATGGGAATGACTAAAGTCCAGTCATCAGCATCCAGAGGTAGGAAGCCTCCTGCGTACAGCGTCTGCTTGGGGAAGGAGCTGTTCGTGGTGCTGACATTGCCTTGGAGCTGCTCCATCTCCCGATCAAGTGAAGGGACCGGTCCGCTGAGACTGCCAGGGGCTGCGAATGAGGCTGGGAGAACACCAGTGGGGACTGTAAAAACCACTGGGGACCGCCTCCTACATTCACTGTGATTGACAGCCAGAGCACCCACGACGCCTCTTATTACAAGTGGAATTACCATCTTATTAACTTAGGGCTTTGCTAACACTTATCTGGATGAATAACTAGATATTTATTGGCACAATGTACACAAAGATACCTCACATTATCTATTCATTTGTAATGGTAACTAACAATCACTACTCATGTGTATCTGTCATAGAATAAACATAATGTTTATACGCATTAAAATCGCAAATACAGCCATGGCCAAACGTTTGGAGAATGACGCAAGTATTCATTTTCACAAAGTCTGTTGCTTCAGTGTTTTAGATCTTTTTTGTCAGATGTTACTATGGTATACTGAAGTATAATTACAAGCATTTCATAAGTGTCAAAGGCTTTTATTGATAATTACATGAGGTTTATGCAAAGAGTCAGTATTTGCAGTGTTGACCCTTCTCTTTCAAGACCTCTGCAATTGCCTAGACTGTAAGCTCCAAGGAGCAGGACCCTCCTTTCCCTCTTGTATTGAACTGTATTGTTGCTGTATTGTCTCCCGTTATATTGTAAAGAACTGAGCAAACTGTTGGTGCTATATAAATCCTGTATAATAATACTCTTAGATTGTAAGCTCCAAGGAGCAGGGCCCTTCTATCCCTCTTGTATTGAACTGTATTGTTGCTGTATTGTCTCCCGTTATATTGTAAAGAACTGAGCAAACTGTTGGTGCTATATAAATCCTGTATAATAATACTCTTAGATTGTAAGCTCCAAGGAGCAGGGCCCTCCTAACCCTCTTGTATTGAACTGTATTGTTGCTGTATTGTCTCCCGTTATATTGTAAAGAACTGAGCAAACTGTTGGTGCTATATAAATCCTGTATAATAATACTCTTAGATTGTAAGCTCCAAGGAGCAGGGCCCTTCTATCCCTCTTGTATTGAACTGTATTGTTGCTGTATTGTCTCCCGTTATATTGTAAAGTGCAGAGCAAACTGTTGGCGCTATATAAATCCTGTATTATAATGCTCTTAGATTGTAAGCTCCAAGGAGCAGGGCCCTTCTATCCCTCTTGTATTGAACTGTATTGTTGCTGTATTGTCTCCCGTTATTATTATTATACAGTATTTATAAAGCGCCAATAGTTCGCTCAGCGCTGTACATTACAAAGGGGGACAGAACATGTGACAGAACAGTACCAATACAATGCAAAACATGAGGGGATTGAGGGCCCTGCTCTTTCGAGCTTACAATCTAGTTATATTGTAAAGCTCTGAGCAAACTGTTGGCGCTATATATATCCTGAATAATAATAATAATAATTGCCTGGGCATGCTGTCGATCAACTTATGGGCCACATCCTGACTGATGGCAGCCTATTCTTGCATGATCAATGTTTGGAGTTTGTCAAAATTTGTGGGGGTTTTTTTGTTCACCCACCTCTTGAGGATTTGACCACAAGTTATCAGTGGGATTAAGGTCTGGGGAGTTTCCTGGCATTGGACACAACATTTTGATGTTTTATTCCCCAAGCCACTTAGTTATCACTTTTGCCTCATGGCAAGGTGCTCCATCATGCTGGAAAAGGCATTGTTCATCACCAAACTGTTCTTGGATGGTTGGGAGAAGTTGCTGTTGGAGGATGTTTTTGCACCATTCTTTATTCATGGCTTTGTTCTTAGACAAAATTGTGAGTGAGTCCTCTCCCTTGGCTGAGTAGCAACCCCACTCATGAATTGTCTCAGGATGCTTTACTGTTGGCATAACACCGGACTGATGGTAGCGCTAACCTTTTCTTCTCTGGAGAAGTTTTTTTCCGGATACCCCAAACAATCAGAAAGGGGATTCATCAGAGAAAATGACTTTACCCCAGTTCTTAGCAGTCCAATCCCTGTACCTTTGCAGAATACCAGTCTGTCCCTGATGTTTTTCCTGGAGAGAAGTGGCTTCTTTGCTGCCCAGGCCATCTTCCAAAATTCTTCACCTCACTCTGCGTGCAGATGCACTCACACTTGCCTGCTACCATTCCTGAGCAAGCTCTACACTGGTGGTGCCTCGATCCCGCAGCTGAATCAGTTTTAGAAGATGGTCCTGGACTTTCTTGGGTTCCCTGAAGCCTTTTTCACAACAATTGAACCTCTCTCCTTGAAGTTCTTGATGATCTGATAAATGGTTAATTTAGGTGCAATCTTAGCAGCAATATCCTTGCCTGTGAATCCCTATTTTGTGCAAAGCAATGATGACTGCATGTGTTTCCTTGCAGGTAACCATGGTTAACAGTGGAAGAACAATGATTTTCAGCACCACCCTCCTTTTAAAGCTTCCAGTCTGTTATTTTAACTCAATCAGCATGACAGAGTGATCTCCAGCCTTGTCTTCATCAACACTGACACCTGTGTCAACGAGAGAATCACTGACATGATGTCAGCTGGTCCTTTTGTAGCAGGGCTGAAATGCAGTGGACATTTTTTGGGGGGATTAAGTTAATTTTCATATCAAAGAGGGACTTGGCAATTTACATATACTCCAGAATGTTATGAGGAGTGATCAGATGAATTGCAATTAATTGCAATCATAAAAACTGACACAACAGACTTTGTGAAAATTATTATTTGTGTCACTCTCAAAACTTTTGGTCATGGCTGTATTAGGACACTTTCTGGAGTCCACCTACTCAGATGGGGAACGGTCCGTTGATCCCCACTGAGCAGGCGGATGATAGGTCCATGTCCGCTTCGCTTGTGCAAAGCAGACAAGGACACAGCCTGATGTTCTCCATGGGTGGTCGGATGTAAATGGAATGCTTGTCCATTTACATCCGACTGTCATATGATTCACAAAAAACAGATGGATGTTGGATCAGTTCCTCATCAGTCTAGCGCAGTGTTTCTCAAATGTTCCAGTCAAGCCATTCTTTAAAGTTATGAACAACATTGAGGCACCCTTTAAAATTATGGACTCAAGGCAACCCATTCTAAAATGTAAAAAACTATTCTAATAGTTTTACCTAATGCAGCAACACCCACATATGTATTACACCCAATGTTAGAGGGGATTTTGTTCTTCCAAAGCAAATACACTTTTGCACACTGATACTGAATAGTATTCCAATGTTTCTCCCTCAGTTTCTCTCTATCACTCAGCTAATTTGACCCCATTACTGACACAGAGGGGCAGGAAAAGGTCAAACAAGGATGCCATGTAGGCAACCAACATCTTCCATATCAACTGATGATTTGTTTGGTTGTAAGGACGCCAACAGCTAGAAGGTTGTAATGGTGCACAATAAAAACCTATGACTTTGTGTAACTAAAAGGCAGGCTTGATCCACCTGCTGGCTTGTATAAAATATTTGGGCAATTTTTAGGCATTTTGCCTAGGTACCCATGAAGAAACTTCAAGGCACCCCAGGGTGCCTGAGCACCCTGGTTGAAAAAGGCTGGTCTAACAGATTGGATCTGATGCAGGTGGGCATAAACAGACACATGTCCATTTATATCTGCTTCCCCATAGAGAACAATGGATGGTCCAATTGGGTCCACCTGAAAAACTGACAGGCAGACCCAATTGGTCCACCCATGTGAAAGGAGCCTAAGAGCTTGAGGAATGAGGCAAACTGCTCTGGGTTTGGGTTGGCAAACTTAAAATCGATTAAAATGAATCAGAATGCCATTTTCTAGGCTAACACACAAAGGGTTGTAAAACAATACCATCTGGGGTGGGCACTACTACCCTGGGGAACATGTACCAATGCAAACAAATGTAAAAAAAAAAAATAATATTCAGTCCAAGGCAGAGATTTTTTAAAGCACTGATATACACAACAGAAAAAAAGTGTTTTAAATTGCCATCAATTTACATCTCCTTGCTGATGTCTTTAAAAAAAGGCACACCGACCCTGATAAAGGCTCTTCAAAATACATAGCAGACCCTTACGTAATTTTGGGGGCCTTTCAAGGAGTCTGTGTGCCTTTTTTTTTTAAAGATGCTAATAAAATGTAATTTACCAGAAAATTATAGAATAAGTTAACCTTTGGAACATGTAACATGTTCCAGCTCCTGCCTCCTCTCTCCCCTGATCCCCCTTCCCCATGTCAGCAGGCAATGGATCTTCTCCTCGCACCCGTTTTCAGAATTTAAAAACAGTGCGGCTTTGTGGGGCTCTGCCCACACAGCTGAATCATTCATTCCCAGAGTTCTGTGACTGAATGAATTACATCTACTATCACCCTCTGCAGCAGACAACTTATATAGTTCTCAATGAACTGCAAAGGTGCTGGTGAGGGTTCTCATAGACCATTGATTCTTCCTTCTAATTAGTAATTGCCTACAGTGTCTACGCATTGAACTGGTGATCTGCTGATCGCGGGTGCAGTGCCTTACAGGATGCAGTGTAAAAAAAAAATTTTGCAAAAAGATGTGCATTTATTATTTTTTTGTAAGAGATGAACCCTTTCCTGCCCGGCCTATATTAAATGATGGCTGGGCAGGACTTTTGTTGATCCGGGTGGACATCATATGACATCCTCCTGGACCGCCCCCATGCAGAAGCAAGATCTGTCACCGGTTGTGTCATGTTATGAAGGCTTTCTGTATGGTTATTTTTTCTGTTGGTTTAACTAGATGGACTTGTCTTTTTTCGACCTGACTTTATAGCTATATACACTATATTGCCAAAAGTATTGGGGCGCCTGCCTTTACACGTACATGAACTTTCAGAGGGGGGAGCGTGCACCACGATGCTTGATGCCCAACATAAAACAAAATAAATTATGAAAGCAAACAAAACCAGCTGTTGAATTACAGCTCCCTGTTAATCGGCACTATAATGGAAAGAGTGGGGATAGTGGTGACATCATTGCCCAAATACAGCTATTTGGCCATATTTAAAAATTATGTCACCCTCTATCAC